TGCCAGCAAGGCTCCTTATGGAAAACACTCAATAACTCTTTGTTAAATAAGTGGGTGACAATCCTCTGCTCTCGAGATTGGTAGTAGGGCAGTGAAATGTTCAGAGACCTGACAACACTCCCATCTTCAGTCACAGCTGTTCTGGTGGCTTCTAGCTCCAAAAGGCCCTTCAAGGTGCTTCTCTTAGGGCTGCCTTGTGACAAGGCTGTCTTAGAAAAGGCTAGGGTCCCACGAATCTGCTCCACACTCCATCAGTTACGAGATGTGCCACATGCCTTGGCTTATCTCTTCTATCTTACAACAACCCCATGAGGTGGTGTTGTCTGTTGTCGTTGCTATGTGCCATCAAATTGGTACCAATTTATAGCAACCCTCTGTACGGTCATGAGACTGGCCAGTCCTCACGGTCATGATGTTTGAGTTCATTGTTGTAGCCACCATGCCGGTCCAGCTCTTGAGGCTTTTATCTCCTTTTGGCTGACCCTCTACACCCCTACACTTTTATAGATCAAGTTGACATGAAACTATGTAACTACCACACAGCGTCCAAGTAGCAAAAAGCAAGCAAAACAACAACAACCAAACCCATGTCATTGTCCATCAATAGGACACCTGTTGAAAAGTGTTGCAATACCCATCAAATGGAATGGCACCCAACTGCTTAAAGAATAAGGTGGTGCACAGAGGGGGAGAGCTCCTTCAGATATATGGGATCTGTGGCAAATGGACTCCATTCATGTAAACCTTAAAACAACCTACCTACCAATACCTGTGCCAGGTTAGCAAATTTCCAGAAGGCTGTGCAGAACTTAAAAAACTGACGGCCGTTAAGTCGATGCTGACTCATCGTCGCCTAGTAGGACAGGGCAGAAGTACCTCTGTGGGTTTCTGAGACTCTAACTCTTTCCGGGAGTACAAACCTCATTGATGTCCCAAAGATCAGCTGTGGGTTTTCAACTACTGACCTTGCACAGTAGCAGCCCAATTCATAACCCACAACACCACCGGAGCTCCTGGAAGGTCGTGCACTTGGCTGTGAAAGATGGTTTGCACAGGAGGATAGCCTGGGGGCTGCAGGCAGAGCATCTTACTGTTCATGATGTCCTCATGTGCTGTTTGACATTTCAGAAACCTCCATGCATGTGCTGACGGGTTGAGAGACAGACAGCATGTGGACTCGCAGACAGGTCCATCATAGATTTACGAATTATTTTAACCAGGAGATTCTCAACTCCTGGAATGAGTAGTAATGGTTCTTTGAACACCCACAGTGGGTTTTGTCCTTCTTTTTAGGCCTCAGAATTTGCAATGAAGGTATCATTAACCCTATTTTCAGATCAGACGAGGGAGCCTCAGAGAACACCAGGCCCATAGCTAGGAAGTAACTTACAGCCCTGACTCCGTCCCCTTTACCGGGTGAGTGACAGTTGGACCAGAAGTCATGAAAGCTGGTCTCTGGTCCTAGAGGAGCCTCCAATTAGCTTGACCAAGTGACCTTCGCCAAGTTGTTGTGCCCTAGGGGCCTTGATCGAATGTGTTCTCTCCCCACTTCAGGAAATCGTGGTGAGAGTCATAATGTGCATGCTGGAGAATGAGGCCAACAGGACAACATACACCCAAGAGTTAGACCCTACAGCCACAGATGTGAGGGCTTTGGGAAGTCTGCTATGGGACACTCACGAAATCCAAGAAGGCTTCCTGGAGGAGGTGATCAAGCCAAGCTCTTTATACATTCTTTCCCCAAAGTATCCCACTATGAGAGGGAGGCAGTATCTCCTTCCACCTTGGAAATCGAGACCAGGCTCTGGGTAGGAAGCCAGCTCAAATACACACTACCAGCCACATCACCAGGGTCGGGAGCCCAAGCCCAATCACAATCTCTGCTCCCCTCCTCTGACCAAGAGCCCAGTTCCACCACTGCTATTCCTCCCTCAGGTGCGACAAACACCACGGTTCTGAAAGAGGAGTCAAGACTTGTCTGCCTGCGGATCAGTGACAACCTATATGACTCCTTCAGCATCAACAGCATCGGCAAGTGCTTCAAGAAGTGTGGGCTGGAGGATGAACCCTGCAGTTCAGAGAAGCTGCAGAGGTGAGGAGGTCCTTGGAACTGGGGCAAAAACCTGAGGCTGCAGGGAAGCAGAAGCAGCCAGGAAGGGGATTGCGTCATCATCCCCGCCGGCCACCTTGTGGGACACCCAGGGGCCCTGCTGGCTCAGGACACAGAGATGACTCAGCTCTGCCTTGGAACTGAAGGGGGACAGATGTAGGCCCAAATGTTGATGATTCAGAGTGAGATAGACCTAGATAGGAGGATAGTCAGTGGTCCAGCTGCGTCCAGAGAAGGAAGCCTGTCTTGCTTCCCCCAAGAAAGGAGGCAAACCATGCAAGGTCTTCGAAGAGGGACGGCATAGGCAATTTCCAGTTGTACCCTGGCAATGGGGGGTCCAGGAAGCAAAATCTAGAGAGAGCTGAGGGTAGAGCTACAGTGTTCTGAGCTGTGAGAGAGGGCGCTTTCAGGGGGCCCACATGGGTGGGGATAGGTCTAGAAAAATAAATAGGAACCAACGGATCTGGATTTTTAAAAAATACCAATGCAAGGCAGAGGGAAATGTGTGGACTTTTTTTTTAGGAGACGAAGAGCAGTCTACTTGCCACTTTAGAAAGATTGCCCCGGCTCCTGGGTTGGTGATACAGAAGGAGACGTGGTCAGGTGGTCAGCGTAAGCATGAGGACTGTGTGTGAGATCACTGAGACCAAGAGACTGACGAGATGTGGACAGGCAGGAAGGAGGAGTGTAAGATACAGTATCTTCATGAGTCAGCTCCCAAATCACCCTACCTCTCTCTCCTCCACTTCATTCCGATCAGCGTTGCCCATCATTCTTCAGGGACACCCAGAACAGCACTTGGCTCCTTAAGCAACAACCTGTCAGGTGCTGTCTCGCCAATTCTCAGATAGTAGACTGCCTCCTGGGACTTTCTTGACTGTCGACTGCCAGGTCTTTGCTCTGTGGCACTTCTGGGGAAGCAGGAGAGCAGGACTGTCGTGCCAGCAAGGCTCCTTATGGAAAACACTCAATAACTCTTTGTTAAATAAGTGGGTGACAATCCTCTGCTCTCGAGATTGGTAGTAGGGCAGTGAAATGTTCAGAGACCTGACAACACTCCCATCTTCAGTCACAGCTGTTCTGGTGGCTTCTAGCTCCAAAAGGCCCTTCAAGGTGCTTCTCTTAGGGCTGCCTTGTGACAAGGCTGTCTTAGAAAAGGCTAGGGTCCCACGAATCTGCTCCACACTCCATCAGTTACGAGATGTGCCACATGCCTTGGCTTATCTCTTCTATCTTACAACAACCCCATGAGGTGGTGTTGTCTGTTGTCGTTGCTATGTGCCATCAAATTGGTACCAATTTATAGCAACCCTCTGTACGGTCATGAGACTGGCCAGTCCTCACGGTCATGATGTTTGAGTTCATTGTTGTAGCCACCATGCCGGTCCAGCTCTTGAGGCTTTTATCTCCTTTTGGCTGACCCTCTACTTTGCCAAGCTTGATGTTCTTCGCCAGGGACTAGTCTCTCACAGTACATGAGAAACAGTCTCGCCATCATCACTTCTAAGGCGCATCCTGACAACACTTCTTCCGAGACAAGTTGTGGGGTTAAAGGGGAGAGGGGACCCCACAAAACATCACAGGTCCAGTAGGCACAATTGCACAGCGATAATAAGTAGAGATTATAGTAAAGTCATAGAGAGCATGAGAGTTAAAAGATGGAGTCAAGTAATGGAGTCAGATGCAATTCATGGTAGCATTGCTCACCTCAGCCCCACTTGGTGGTCCGCGTGGAGGGAGTCAGCACAACTTTAATGCTTCTCAAACTTCTATCCCTCTCTGGGGATGTGCAAGCCCCCTAATTACAGGGGAAGACATACGTCACAGGAAGGGGGTGTACAATAGGCATACACATTGTTAGAAGAGGCTCTATGATAGGCATAAGCATAACAGGAAGGGGATGAGCTAGGGGTGTGCCCATAGGAATGGGAAGGTCTAGGGTTATACATGTGACAAGATGGCGGACCCTAGATTCATAATGGCAGCCTAACCTTGGTCATCCTTGGGCGGGTTTGACCTCTCTGGTGTCTCCTACAAGGAAACAGACAACTACTATCCTTATCAGAAGGGAGTGAGCCCTACTTGTTGTGGGATAAACAGTGGTGTTTACTTGTTCCAGATGTCTGATAGCTCTTAGGGAGAATGACCCCTAATCTACTCCTGATGACCTCCAAAGTGTACAGTCATTCTCAAGCTAAGTCTGGCATATATTTGGGGGAGACAAGTTGGGAGAAGTCCTTCTGTTTCCCACAAAAAGCATTGTTTGTTCTCCTGGCCGCCCCCCCCCCCCATCAGTGCCGGAGGGTCCGAGTCTCTGCTCATCCTCACCGGCGTGTGCCATGATTGCCGGGGTGCGGTGACATCACACCGTTTTGATTTGCATCTCTCCAATGGCTCATGCGTATGAGCCTGCCTTCAGGTTTGTTGACAGCCTGAGTGAGTGTCTTCTTTTCTGAGGCGTCCATGTCCTCTGCCCACTTATCTATTTGTGATGGAGCCATTGATAGTTTTCTATAACGGATAGACTCGTCCCTTATCTGACTTGTCATTGCCAAACGCTTTGCCTGGTCTGTGGGCTCTGGTTTCACTTTTTCGGTTGACGTCTTTGGATCCACAGTCGTGTCTAAGTTTTAGGAGGCCGAGAGGTCCGAGTAATCTAGTTTGTCTTCTGCTGTGTATGTGTGTTTTTTAAAAATATTTTTATTATGTTTATTATTCGTGCCACGTAGCAGGGCCCTCAAGTTTGCCCCTACTTTTTAAAATTGATGATCTTTATAGACCTAAAATTTACAGTTAGATCTTGATCCACCTGGGACTCAGGTTTGTATCTGGTGTAAGACAGAGGTCCTATTCCATTCATTTGAAAATGGATATCTGGTTTTTCCAACACCGCTTGTTAAAGAGACGAGCTCTCCCCCCACTTAATGTGTTTCAGCTTTTTGTCAAAGACCGGTGGTCCTTAGGTGGATGGATTTAATTCTGGATTCTCAATTCTGCTCTGTTCATCTACATATTTCTCTTCGGACCAGTGTCTGAGAACGTTCCCATGCCATGCACAAGGTTTTCAGTAGCTTCTTCCTCCAAGGTGGGATCAAATCTCCCAGTAATTGATGCTCTCCTCATCCCCTTCATAGTATGCTGCTGTCCTTCTTATTTCTGTTTGTCCTGCTGTGATGCCGCGCCTTCATTTCTCATCAAATTATCTGCATCCGCTCCTTCTTCCCTTGGCTGTAGTTGTCAGTGCTATCCTTTCACAGAGACACCTCCTTGTCTCGTTGATTCTTCCTATTGCTTATTTCTGTACTGATCTTGATTACTTCCTTCTGGTAATTGTAGTCTTAGTCTGATGTTCTTTTCCTAATTGTTGGAGGTGTTGGCTTAAGTCGTTGATTTTGGATCGTTCCTCTTTCTTGATGGATGTATTTACGGATACAAATTGCCCTGGGAGCACTGCTTTCATTTTGTCTCAAAGGTTTTGGTATGCCACGTTTTCATTCTTGTTTCATTCAAGGATTTTTTAATTTCCTCTGTTATCCCATAGTTTTTAAAGATTTTTTTTGGTTTTACCCCCTTTGATCTTCCTACTGTTGATTTCTAACTCTCTAGCATTGTCCTCTCAGAAGATGATTTCTAATATCTAAATGTATTTAAATTTATTTAAATGTATTTAAATTTATTTAGCCTGGCTTTGTGGCTTAACAGATGGTCTATTCTGGAGGATGTTTCATGAGTGCTGGAAAAGAACATGTATTGTGCTGTTGTTGGGTGTAGTGTTGTGTATATTTATGAGGTCAGGTTGGTTGTGTTTAGTTCTTTTGTGTCTTTTGTTGAGTTTCTTTCTAGTTATATTCATCTAGTGTATTAAAGTCTTCTACTATTATTGTAGAGCTGTCTATTTCTCGCTTCAATTGCCTAAGAATTTGACGAATATATTTTGAGGCACTTTCTTTGGGTGCATAAATACTTATTATTGTCATATCCTCTTGTTCACTTGACCCTTAATCATTATATGATGCCTTCTTTGTTTCTATGCTGGATTTTGCCTTAAAGTCTATTTCACTGGAAATTAATATTGCTACTCCTGCTTTTACAATATAGCATTTAGCTTGATATATTTTAGTCTATTGTTGTCTGTGTGCCTAAGGTGTGTCTCTTGTAGACAGCACACTGATGGGTCCTGTTTCCTGACCACCCTGGTACTCCCTATCTCTTGACAGGTGCATTTAACCCATTTACATTCAGCATAACTATTAATAGGTATGAATTGATTGTCTTATTAGTCCACATATTTTCTTTGTTGAGTTAAGTTTGTGTGTGTGTCATTTTCTTCATTGTTGTTGGAGTGCTTAGTAAATCTTTGATTTCCCTCTTAAGTTTTGATGAGTTTATTCATTTTCTTTGAGATAACTGTAATTTATTCATTTCTTCCCCGTTTGAAGCAGTCTATTTTATCTTGAAATCTACTTCACATCCTTTCTATTTGAAGGTTCTGTAACTAGCTACATGATTCCTGTTCTTTTCTTTGAAATTGTCTTCATGACAAGCTGATATCTCTGGTCTGCTATTTTCAGTCTTGTGTGCTTGTTTTACTTTAGGTATTTCTCTGTCTAGATTGAGTTCTGGGTGCTGTTGTCCAATATGCTAACCTCGGGTTGTTGTCTACTGTTTTTGGTTCTCTGTCTAAAGAATTCCCCTTCGTAGTTCTTGTAAGGTTGGTCTTATTTTTACAACTTCCTCTAATTTATATTTATCTGGAAATGTCCGAAGTTCACTATCATATTTGAAGGGCACTTTTGCTGGTATAAGATTCTTGGTGGGAAATTATTTTCTTTGGAGAGAGATATATAAATATTTCCCCCCATTGCCTTCTTGCCTGCATTATTTCTGCTGGGAATCAGAGCTGACTTTTACTGGTTCTTCTTAGAGGTAACTTTTCTTACTTTCTGGGCTGCCCTTGGGGTTCTTGCCTTATCTTTTGTTTTGGGAAGTTTGATTACGATGTGTCTTTGTGATGTTCCTTTGGCTCCTATCCTGTTTGGGGTTCTGTTTAGTTGCTTGAATTCATATCTTCTTGTCTTTCATGATGTTAGTGAAGTCTTCTTCCAACAACTCAATTGTCTCTGTTCTTTTTGTTGTCTCTTCTTGTTCTGAAAGTCCAGTCTTGTGTAAAATACTCTTCTTGATGGTGTCCCACATAATTCTTAGGTTTTCTTTGCGTTTTTGTTCTTTTACTGATTGTTTCTTTAGCGTATTAGTACTTGAAGACTTGTTGTTAAACTCACTAATTCAACCTTCCATTAATTCAATTCTATTTCTTTATTCTTTCAACACATTATTTCTGAAATCTTAGTATTAATCTTTTGGATTTCTATTTGCTGTTTTTATGTGCTTTCCAATTTTTCATTTATTTTGTATGATTGTTCTTGAAATGTTTTCCTGAATTCTTCTAAAGTCCCCCTGTTTTTCCTTGCTTTTGCCTGAATTTCCCCCAATCTTTCTCTCAACCTGTTGAAAGAATCTAAATACCATTCTTTTGACTTTCTTGTCCGTAGTTCCAATCCCATTCCTTCCTGAGAAATGTCTTCTAGCTCTATATTTAGTCACTTGCACAAACCACGCTGTCTTGTTTCTCCACGAGGACTGAAATTGTCTGTTATTACCAAAACAATGTAGTGTTGTGGTCTATGTAATTAGTTAATGACTGTATACTGCCGAAACTGTGGCTGCTCATCACCTGGGTCCTGATTGGTGTGACACAGAACGTGGGTGTGTGCACGGTTCTCTGTTTGCTGCTCACAGTGGAGGTGGGTTTGGCTGCTCTCTGTTGATGATCATTTAGGGTGGGGAGTGGCCCTCAGCCAGCAGGTGTTGCCTTCAGGAGGTAGGCGTGTGGCTGAGCCATTCGGTTTTAGTTGCTGTATCCTGTTGGGTAGGACAAGTAGGGGAGCAACAGCAACAAAGAGATAAAATAAAATAAAAATAAGCAGGATAATAGTTCAGGGAACCTACAGCAAGAAAAAATGAACTCACGGCTACACATAAGCAAAGAAGAGGAAAGTGAACAGGGGCTGAGAAAGAGAATAGAAAGAAGACAGGATACAACAAGCAAAGCTAGGGAGGTGAAAAAGAAATGAGAATAGTTAAGAGGAAAGAAAGAGAAGGAAAAGAAAAATGTAAACACAGAACAGAGGAAAGCTGTGAAAGAAAGGATAACAAGCAAAGCAAGAAGAGAAAGGGAGAAATCTGGGGCAGAGGCAGGACCTAGAGAAGAGAAGACTGTGGAGGGCGGGCTACGTGGCACAGTTCACACCCTCTGCCAGCCAAGAAGCTCATGGGGTCAGGGCTAGGGATTCCTCCTTTGATGGACTTTCTGCTGCCTAGATGTTATATGGGGTCAGCGACCTGACCTGGAAGCATTTCATGCAGCTCAGATCATGGCTGAGGTCAAGGTGCTTGATCCCAGGAAGAACTCTTTCAGTTCAGAGGGCAACTAGGGGTAAACCAAGTGGTTAGGGAAGAAGTTCGTGCCCACCCGGGGCACTGCACCTTCGCTGTTCTGGTGCTCCTGTGCCGCCAGACATGGAAGTGATGCACCAGGAGCCAGCCCACAAGGGTAAGGCTCTGACCTCGGGCAGAGCAGGGATGTGCAGGGGTGTGTGACTCACCCCTAGGCGGATGAGGCTGGGGCTGGCCATTCCTCTAGGAGAGTGTGGGCAGCAAGAAAATCCCACTTTTCTTGTCGTCGGCCGCCAGTGTGGGTGCTCGTGGTGGTCCTGAGCAAAACCAGGCTGATTGTGGGCAAGCTGAGTCAGACCAGCTGGCATGTCTCCCATCTAGCTTCTCTCTGGCTGTTTTTGTTCAACCTTTTCTCCTAGTTGGTATTCAGTCGACTTCTCTAGCCTTTCAGCGAACTCTCCAACTCCCTCTCACCTCTGCACAGTCTTACCCAGTCGTTTGTTAGATGCTACGAAGAGCACAGCTCCCTCACTGCCAGCCAGTCCATTTCCAGAGGAGCCCGCCCCAGGGGCAGCTTTCCCAGGTGGGTACAGGGGCTCCTGCATGCTTCCTGGGCCTTCCTGCTGGAAGCAGACAGGGCCCAGCTTCACAGGACTGACATCCCAGTAGAAAGGGGACCCAGCAGACACCATTGTGACATGAACACTCCAGGGGAGCTTGTTTGTACCACAGGAACGTTACCAAACCAAACCAATGGGGGTGGTGGTGGTGAAGGCGGTAGTGTGTGTGTGTGTGTGTGTGTGTACATACACTCGAGCCAGTTGCCACATCTTGTGACAGCTGCCCTGCCTGGCCCAGTCAGTTCTCCAAGGGCTCCTGGCACTGCCATCCTTGTCCCCTGACTGTGTGGGCTCCAGGCACCTCTCTTATCTGCTGGGCAGGCCTGGCTCGGGTGTGCATGTTCACACTCGGGACTGTTTACACATGTGGTCTTAGCCTGTGGCTTCTCTGTCTTCTGATGTCCCTCTGTGCCTTCCCTCACCCTTTGGGACAAAACAGTCTTTACTAAACACCCTTGCATAAGCTCAAAAAAAAGAGGACATAGTAGAACTCTGTCTATAGGACAGAGTAGAACTGCCCCTGTGGGTTTCCAAGACTGTAACTCTTTGCGGGATTAGAAACCCTCCTCTTTCTCCCATGAGTACATGATATCAAGTAACTCACTACACCACACACAAACAACAACAACCCTCCCTGGCTACTTCTTTCCAACAGCCTTGGCCTAGTTGTGCCTATTTCTACTGCCCTCTCACTCTCCTCTGCTCCATCCCATTACCTTGCTCTTCCGATGCTGACTTGACGGGTTTCCGAGACTGTCACTGCTTACCAGGGTAGAAAGCCCAAGTTTTCTCCTGAGCTGGTGGTGGTTTCAAACTCAGCCCAACTCATAAGCACTACAGCACAGTACACTTGCTCAGAATTGTTAGGGGGCGGTTAGGCAGCGGTGCTCAGAATCCCAGGGAAAGAGAACCGAGTGGTGCCCAGGGGCACCGGGAGGTTTCAGCACCACGGAGAGCACTCATGCACGTGCCTCTCCCTGACATTCTAGCTAAGGAGCCTTGGTGGGCAGTAGCTAAGTGCTCAGCTGACAGCCAGAGACTTTCCACCCACCAGTCTCTGGGTGGCAGAAAAGACCTGACAGGCTGCTCCCCGTAAAGATAACGGTTTAGGAACCCCACGGGGCAGCTCTACTCTGCCCTAGAGGATTGCTGTGAGTTGGAATCAACCCGATGGCAGGGAACAAAGACGACGGCAGTGAAGTGAGTGCCAGTTAGCTAGTGTGTTCTGTCTTGCTCTACAACCAGCTCTTTCTCAGACACGCCCAGTGGTCAGAGGCCGAATCTCCACAATTCATTTGGCTCTTGCCATGAATTAAATTTTGTCTCCAAAAATATTTATCTCAATTTGGCCTGTCCATGATTCTCAATGGCAGCCTTGGAACGATGCGATTCTAGAGTTATGTAATGACCTTTCCTCATCATGGGGTCTGATGCAATCAGCCAATCAGATGAGAAAGGATTCGGGAGGGATACAACATCTTACTCAGGGCACAGTCTTGCCTGGATACAAGGGGTGTTTCTGGGGGCGTGGAGTGAATGACCTTTTATTTTACAAAGCAGAGACATGAGTAGAGAGATAGAGGGACATGCTACTACAACAAAGGAAGAACTGGGATCAGACAGAGCACATTCTTTGAACCCAGTGTCCCTGTGCTGGGAAACAGCTAGACTCTTGGGAGAGTCATGACAAGAACATTCTCCCAGAACTGACAGAGAGAGCAAGCCTTCTCCTACCGCTGGGCACCCCAAATTCAAGCTTCTAGCTCCCCAAACTGTAAGAGAATATGTTTCTGTGTGTTAGCACCATCTACCTGTGGTATTCTGGTATAGCAGTGTTAGGTAACTCGGTAAGAAAGACTTCAGTAAAGGGGCTGATAGTCTCAGGCATGCCACTGATGAAAGCCCTCACAGGGAGGGACAGGACCCACTAGCATTGCTCCCAAGCCACCTCCTTCCTCTTATAGCAACCCCACGCCTGCCCCTTGGTCTCCTGGATGGTCCCTCTCTCCCCCAAAAACTGATGTTTGCTGCCCATGGTTTCTCCCCTCCTGTCACTCAAGCTGGGAGCCAGGGCAGTGCGTCACTCTGCCTATAACAGCCTACCCTCTCCCCTGGCCCTTGGTCCTTTGCAGATACTGGCTAGACTATGAAGCCCACGTGGTGGAGCAGAGTTCGGTGAACATAGTGAACGAGTCTTTTGTGAAGACTTTGGTCCAGAACCTGAGCACTGACATCTCAGAGGACCTGCACTTCTCCCTGGAGCCCTCGCAGGTGAACAGTGCCCCATCCCTGCAGGCCGGTCCTGCCTCCCTTTCCATCAGAGTTCTGGGGCAGCCACGGTCTGTGCTTGGTGCTCATCATAACTTATTCCTTCCAGGTCCCTTTTTGACATCGTGCTGCCTCCTTGTTCAGGGGTGCTAGTGAGTGGGTGCTGGTAATCCATAGATTGTCCAAGGTGCTAATGAGAGATGCCTGGAAGAACCCAGAATTGAGAGCCAGCAGAACTGGCTTCTTGTCCTAGACATTCTGCCATGTTCCTAGGTGCCCCATGGGAAATCCCTTTCCCTCTCAGGACCATAAAGTCCTCATCTATAAACTGAGTTAGAAAGCTCCTCCCAGGCAAAGGGCATTTAT